CCTCTTTAACTTATTTTTATTATTATTATTGTTGTTGTTGTTATTTTTGTTGTTGTTGTTGTTTTCTTATTATTTATAATTTATACAGTTAATCTCCCTATGGTTTAACACCGGTCTTGCTGGGTTATTTATTACTTCTACACTTCTACACTTGGGAGAAGACATCAATCTTTTGGTCGTGTCAAGTTTTTGGTGTCATTGCCAAAGAGGTAAATTCTTGCATAAATTATAACATTTATTTTATTTTCTCTTTTCACTTTTATTCTATTTAACTTTTGTTTCTTTTGTTTTGTTTCTTTTTTTTTCTTCGTACACGTGCATTAAATGGTAAACTTTGTAAGATATCCTTATCATTTTTAGAAAATATGGCTGAAGAAGATAACCAGATACTTCATAATGAGAATAACCATGTCAGAACACTTAGAGACCACATGAACCCCACAAGAACAAGTGCACTCTCATTTGAATTTTAAGCCGAGTATTATTCAACTTTTACTTTCTTTTCATGTCTTAAATTTAGAAAATTCATACTTGCATTTAAAGGAATTTGAGAAGGTTTGTAACACCTACAATAATTTAAACTATAGCTTGAACACCATCACATTAAAGCTTTTTTCTTTTTCACTAAAACATGGCTATAAAATTTGAGATTAGGATCCATTCGTGTTTGGGATGAAATGCAACAACAAGTTTTAAAGAAGTTTTTTCCACCTTATAAAACAAACTTTTTCAGAAGACAAATCACCAATTTCACTCAAAAACTAGGAGAAAACTTTTACCAATGTTGGGATAGGTATGGAGACTTTCTTAATACTTGCCCTCATTATGATTTTGAAACATGGAGATCTTGGAGATTGGATTCACATTTTTATGAAGGGTTAACACCTATAAATAGACAAATGGTGAAATTGATGTGTAATGGAAATTTTGAAGATACATACCCTGATAAAGCAATGGATTTTTAGAATTCGGACATCGTAGGTACTTATAAGGCACCGGGTAAAACTTAACCTTATATATCTAGTGGAGGTATGTACAACCTCGGGGAAGATCATGACCTCCAAGCCAAGTTTGCATCTTTAGTTAGAAAAGTTGAGGCACTAGAATTAAAAAAGATTGGTCAATTAAAATTTGTTCAAACATTATGTGTCAAATTTGTGAAACCAATGAACACTCAACCAATCACTGTCCAACTTTGCCTTCTTTGATGGAATGCCTCTATGAACAAGCCCATGCTTTAAATAGTTTTTAACTGCCCAATCATAACCTATACTCATAAATATACAACATTGGTTGGAGAAATCACCCAAATTTCAATTAGAAGAGTGATAATAATAATGCACAAACTTGCATAGTAAATCACATAAGGTTTCTTATCTTTTCTTTGTTCCAAAACAGCACCTACAGTATAATCACTAACGTCACACATTATTTCAAAAGGTAATAATCAATCAGGAGGTTGAATGACAGGAGTACAAGTAAGCAAGTTTTAAAGTTTAACAAAGGCTTTTTCACAATGTTCAGTCCATTCAAAAATATTATCCTTTGTTAGAAGGTTACTTAAGGGCTTAGATATTACACTAAAATCTTTGATGAACCTTTTATAAAAACCAGCATGTCCTAAGAATGATCTAACATCTTTAATAGATTTTGGTGTTGGCAAGTTCGCAATTTACTCGATTTTAGATTTGTCCACCTCAATTCCTTTTGATGAAACAATGTGACCAAGTACAATGCCGTTTGTTACCATAAAGTGACATTTTTTCCAATTCAGTACAAGATTCTTTTCTTAACACCTGCTCAAAACCTTTCCTAAGTTAGTCAAACAATCATCAAATAAATTGCTAAAAACAGAAAAATCATCCATAAAAATTTCAAGAAAATGTCTAACCATATGACTAAATATACTAAGTATGCATCTTTGAAACGTGGCTAGTGCATTACATAATCCAAAAGGCATCCTTCGATATGTAAAAGTACCACATGGACATGTGAAAGTAGTCTTCTCTTGATCTTCTAATGCAATTTCAATTTGGTTGTAACCTGAATAACCACCTAGGAAACAATAAAATTCATGACCTGCAACACTTTCTAGAATTTAATCCATGAAAGGTAAAGGAAAATGATCTTTTCTAGTCATTGAATTAAGTTTCCTGTAGTTAATGTACATGCGTCAACTAGTAACAGTCCTAGTGGGAATTAACTCACTATTCTCATTTGTTATCACAGTGACTCTAGACTTCTTGGATACAACTTGGGTAGGACTTACCCATTTATTGTCAGAAATAGGATAAATGATTTCATTATCTAGAAGCTCAATGACTTCATTTTTCACTACTTCTTTCATATTAGGATTGAGCCTTTGTTGCATTTCCCTAAAGGGTTTAACATTTTCCTCCAAATAAATTATGTGTGTACAAATCAAAAGACCAATTCCTTTTATGTCAGCTATGGTCCATCTTAATACATTTTTGTGCATTTTCAGAGTTTGTAATAACTTACCTTCTTGATGTGCATTAAGTTTGGAAGAGATTATTATCGAAAAAGTCTTACTTTCTCCCAAAAATGAGTATTTGAGATTGAATGGCAATGACTTCAAATCAGGTTTGGGTGGTTGAACACTTGAAGGTATGGACTTTATAAATCATTTGCAAATCTTCATATTCATCCAACTCATTTTTACAAGAAGTGTAAGACACCTAAATCTTCAAATTCACAAATTGTCATGTTTCCAAATGATAGCTTCATCAGTTCATTCTTATAATTAATCAACGTATTAGAAGTTGCAAGAAACAGATGTCCTAAAATAACAGGAAATGAATTACATGCTTCAATAATTTGTGTGTCTAAGACACCAAAATCCATAGGATAAAAGAATTTATCGACTTGTATTAACACATCTTCAAGAGACACTTTTACATATCTATCGGCAAGTAAGAGAGTTACAAAAGTTGGTTTTAACTCACCTAAATTGAGACTGTGAAAAACTGAATATGGAAGTAAATTCACACTGGCTCCAAGATCAAGTAAGGTCTTTCAATTTTATGTTCTCCAATAAAGTAAGAAATTATAGGACAACTAGGGTCTTTATATTCCATGTGTTGGCTTTCAGAACTACTTGCATTTGCATTGTATTGCCCCTTAGGATTTTATTGTGGTTGAGATGGAAACTTACCTTTCTTTTGGAAATTAAGAGTAGATGTCAATTTTGCAATAGTGTCTTTAAAATCTGTCATGTTTTGAGCAAGTTGAGTTAAAACCAGGGTTGAAGTGGTGGAGCAGATTGTCTCTTGCTTTTCAATGAATGCATGCAATGTTTCCTGAAGATTTCTTCTAGGAGGTGGAGCATAAGGAGGTGCATATCCATGAGAATTTTAGAAATTATGGTGTGCTTGAAATGGTAGTTGTGAAGTTTGCACATTGTTAATATCACTTTTCCAATTGAAATTTGGGTGATTTCTCCAACCAGGGTTATATGTTTGCGAGTATGGGTTGTGGTTGGCCCTTTGGAACTATTTAAAGCATGGGCTTGTTCATGGAGACATTCTTTAAAAGAAGGCAAGGTTGGACATTTATTGATTGAGTGTTCATTTATTTCACATATTTAACACACAATGTTTTCAACAGATTTTAATTCACCACTCCTTTTCAATTCTAGTGGCTCAACTTTTCTAGCTAAAGATGCAAACTTGGCTTGCAGGTCATGATCTTCCCTAAGGTTGTACATACCTCCACTAGATGTATGAGGTTGAGTTTGACTCGGTGCCTCATAAGTATCCACAGTGTTCCAATTTTGAGCATTTTCAGCTAACAAGTCTAAGTACTCTAATTAACCTCCTTGTAGTTATATCCCGGTCTTATCAGGTTATTTATTAATTCGATACTCTTGCACTTGGAAGAAAATATCAATATTTTAATCGTGTCATGGACCACACTGACAAACCACCCCACAATCGACATCACGTGTCGTATTTGGAGGAAAAGGATGCGATGGAGCATCCAACAATAAGGTGGAAAAGCTAGATCTGTCAATACGAGGTGCTATCCACGTTGCTCAAATGACATAAATGCCTACACACTAGCATGTGGTAAGCACGCGCTAACAATTTTATTAATTAAAAAAATAATAATTCAAGATAAAAATACCAAATTACCCTTAATGTTTCTAAAATTAACAATCAAACCTGTTTGGAAATACCAAAAGTTTTCTAGGTCCAAGGCTCATTTTTTCTTAATTGCAATAGAAAAGTTGATTTTTTATTGTATTTAGAAAAAAGGACTTAAATACCATCAATTAATAATTTCAATTTTTTTTTGTGAATAGAGTAATTAAATCATTTATCTGTTTAAAAAATTATGAAAAAAGCATGTACATTAAATGACTAATAAGGTAGACAAAGAGATAAAAAAAAATCACCAACTTAAAGATTATTGATTTTTTTTAAAAATAAAATTATAAATCCATTACTATAATAAATAGTAAAATATATGCAAGTGTTTAATAAATATGCCTTGTGTTTTAGTTATTTTGATATGTTATTTCATATAGTAGTTAGCAAACACGGTTTAAGAAAGGTAAAATAAGATTGACTTGGTACTATTATTATTTAATTGTGTTTTTAAAATTTTTTAATTTTTTAATTGTAAATTAATTTTTTTTATTTGTTTAATATATTATTATAAAAAATATTAATTTAATAGCTCGTTGGAGAAAACACTAAAAGAAAAGGAGGGGGGGGGGGGGGAACCGCACCCCCATTCAAAAGAGATTCGGGCAAGGCAATGGATTATAGAATCGGGATATGTCGGCCCAGGGTATCGACCGCGTCGCCCAATAAATTTTTTTTGTGGCAGGACCTCTGATAAGACCACACCACCAATTAAACACATCCACGTACCCCCATACCTTTCGATTTCCATTATTATACCCCACCACATATTTCAATTCGTGGCAAGCGTTCCCATCTTAAGCGACATCGTTTCCTTACAACCAAAATACAATATAACCCCTCCTCCCTGATCTTCATTCAGACAAAACCAGAAAAGGAAAAAAAAAAAATACGATGCCGTTCTTTTCTCGAGGTGATGATGACCAGGTCGACGATTACGATGAGTACGATCCCACCCCATACGGTGGCGGATACGACATTGCCTTAACGTACGGTCGCCCAATCCCACCGTCCGATGAGACCTGCTATCCAATCAGCTCAGCCTCCGGTGAAATTGATTACGATCGCCCCAATTACTCCTCTTACTCTGAGCCATCTGCTTACGCTGATGAAGCTCTTGAAACTGAATACAGCAGCTATGCTCGTCCCAAGCCCCGACCTGGATCCACTTATGGTGAACCTCAACCGGCATACGGTTTCCAGCCTGGAATGAATAGGCCCGGATTGGATGAGTCTGATGGCTATGTGAAGCCGGCCAGTGAGGAATATGGAAGGAGACCCGAATCGGAATATGGGTCTGGTGGGTATGGCAATCCTCAAAGTGAAGAATATGGATCTGGGTATGGAAGGAAACCCGAAAGTGAATATGAGTCTGGTGGGTATGGCAATCCTCAAAGTGAAGAATATGGATCTGGGTATGGAAGGAAACCCGAAAGTGAATATGAGTCTGGTGGGTATGGCAATCCTCAAAGTGAAGAATATGGATCTGGGTATGGAAGGAAACCCGAAAGTGAATATGAGTCTGGTGGGTATGGCAATCCTCAAAGTGAAGAATATGGATCTGGGTATGGAAGGAAACCCGAAAGTGAATATGAGTCTGGTGGGCATGTGAGGCCAAGTGAGTACGGGTCTGTTTATGGGCGCAGACAAGAATCGGAGTACGGGTCTGGGAATGAGAGGCCACAGAGTGAGGAATATGGATCTGGGTATGGAAGGAGACCCGAGGGCGAATATGAGCCTGGTAGGTATGAGAAGCCGAGCGAGTATGGGACTGGTTATGGGCGCAGAAAGGAATCGGAGTACGGGTCTGGGTATGAGAAGCCAGAGAGGGATGAATATGGATCTGGGTATGGCAGGAGACCGGACTCTAAATATGGGTCTGGATACGAGAAGCCAGCTGAGTATGGGTCGGGTTATGTGAGGAAATCCAAAACTGAATATGGATCTGGGTATGAGAAGTCCAGCGAATATGGAGGGGGGACTGTGGAATATGGATCTGGGTATGAGAAGCCCAGCGAATATGGAGGGGGGAATGTGGAATACGGATCCGGGTATGGGAGGAGGCTAGGATCCGAAAATGAAGGAAGTGGGTCAGAGTATGGTTCTCGGTACGGGAGGAAGGAGAGTTATGGGGAAGATGGAGAAGGGGATGGGGGAAGGAGCCAATATGAGAAGCCAAGTTATGGAGATGATTCACCTAAGAGATCTAGTTATGCGAGACAGGAGGAAGGAGGAGAGTATGAGAGGCCTTCTTATGGGAGTCGTCGTAGTGATGAGGACGACGAGTATCGTCATAATAAGTATCGTGATGGTGGTGAAGAGGGCTATGGCCGCAAGAAATATGTAGGGTTCTCTCAAATTCTCGGACTTTTTACTTTTTATGCTGATGGTTTTTGATGCAACGTGAGATCATTTCTGTTTCTTGGTAATGTAGGATATTGTGTTGCATTTCCATTTGTGATGTTGAGTTGCTGCCTTGTGTTAGATTTTTGGCTTGGCTTTCTTTGTGTCTTAGTGATCTAAAACAAGGATTGACGAAAATTAGGAGAAACAATGATCTGGAAGCGTATTGCACTTGACTTCGGTCCCACAGGCAGGATATGATTATCCTCATAAGTAGGACATGTTTGCATTAGTTTAGTGGGTTGTTTCTGATAAAGTTTAGTTTAAGTTGAGAATTAATTTAAACTTCAAACCGGCGGCTTGGCTTGAAAAACATTTGATTACCAATTCAATTAGTATAACAAATTTAAGTGGTTTCTTGTTTGGACTAGCGAATTCTGTATTTCTTAGAAATTCATCAGGAAAACTTGGTAAATGCTGAGTGTATGCACATCCTACAAATGCTCCAAGGAGATTTATGGTTTTGCTTTTCTGTTTTTGTTTGTTGCTGCTCAGACTTATGTTCCAGCTTTAGTATATACGTTAGAAGTTCTTACTTGGTTAGCAATACATCAGGAAAGTTAAGAAGGTGCTTGGTCGTGCGCATCCTATGACTGCATCAAGAAGATTTATGGTATTTTTATTTTTTTTGTTTGTTCGTCACTGGAATCCACTTTTTGGTCCATTGATCTTCTTTGCCAAGCTCAAAAGATTTTTGCTCAGTCCTGTGGTGCCAAGCTCAAAATATTCTAGCCACAATTTCCGTGGATGAATCTGTCATTTGAGTCCCTTTTTTTTTTTTTCTCAGTAATCCTATATAAGCAGAAAAAAATAGAATAAATTATTGCCCTGTGAGGCTGCTACCCACTCATTTATTTGTTGCTCTCTGTAATGTTTTACTGGTGATGAGAATATGTAATGAATTGCAACAGGATGTCTATTCATTTTACAAACAATTTCACTTATTGTTTGCTTCAAGTCCCGGACCTTCTAGTTTGGAATTGATGATTGAAATGCCCAACACAGATATTTCCAGCATCACCTGTTTAAAATTAGGAGTACTGAACGGTCACAACTCTGGTATCTTACACGATTAATTCATTGTTTATTGCATTGAGGATCTTAACTTTTTAAGTTTCATTATGAAATCACTATATGCTTGTCTTCTTGGGGGTCTTGGGGAAACAAATAATCGAAATTTCCACTAGTTTACCTCGAGAAGAATACAATGTTTGAGTGCCCATCTCTCTGTGAAAGAACTGCTATCAACAAAGTCGTGCATATAAATTTGCCTTTCTTTTATGGTATCTGTCATTATCTTAATCATATAGGTGAAATTGGCAGGGAGATGACAATTCTGATGATGATGCGGAGAAGCACCGCCACCACCGAAAGAATTATGATGATGAGTGATCAATCAACTGTTAATGGGATTTATGGCACCATTAGCTGCTACTAAATAAAGGGTTTTGTCATGTCTCTGCAATCTGTTGTACTTCTGAATAAAATCCCGAACTTAAAGGGTTTGTGGTGTGTTCTTTAATGTAGCTTTATGATAATGAAAATTATGTGGTCTGATATGGTGATTGAATCCTTCACTCGCGTTACATTTGGAATGGGGATGGCTAAATGGGATCCCCTTTCCATTCTGGAATTTCTCCCATTATAGATGGCTTCCATTGAGTCTCTGCGATCTTTTGTACTTCTGAATAAAATCCCGAACTTAAGGGTTTGCTTTATGATAATGAAAATTATGTGGTCTGATATGGTGTGGATTTAATATTTTTCTCCCATTATGGCTTGACCATAAGGGACACTATCGGGATTACATTACATGAGGCGGGGGCAACATTAGACTTAAGTTATATTGTACTTGAATATAACTGGAGAGATTGAAACAGTATAGCCCTTGAATTTGTTCTATTGTCTAGCTTACAAATAGCTTGTTTCTTGTGGGATGGCTTGATTTCTTAGAAGCTAGGCCATTGCATTCTGGTTAGGCTTCCTTGGTGCTTGGTGACTAGAGCTCGTTGAAACAGTAATTTTCTTCCAAAAAGACGGTTCAGCTTTTAAAAAATTTAATGGGTGAACTAAATTCCTAGTAAATTGAACTGCAAGATAAGTGTCAGCATCCAATTCTTATTGATGACGATTGGGATAGCTCCAAGTATAACAGTGACACTTTTAACTGATGTATGTACCTCATGAAAGAAGGACCATCTATACTGGGGTTATTTCTTTTAACTAATCTGTAATTCCGGAAGCATAATAATTAATATAGAAGATGTGCCCTTAATTCAAAATTAATGAGGTAGAAAATTTTCTTTCCCAGATCTTTCATTTGAATTGCTTGTTATTAATATAAAAGAACATGCGCATAAAAAAGGGATGGGTCAGATGCCTGTTATTAGTATAAAAGTTTATTTTTCATTTTTAACATTAGATTATATTAATATAATCTATTAATTGAAAAAAAACGCTTGCTAGGTAATTTGCTTTTCATCTCCCTATTGCACAACTCAAAAACTTTTGCAACAGTGGATGAACAGCCCCAGCGTTTTCCTTTCTTTAGATGTGACAGCTGTTCTACCACATTGTGTCAGTTTTTTTTACTTCTCCTTTTCCACTAAGTATTTAAACATTTTTTTAGCTATCAAGGATACTTTCAATCTAACTTGTATATTAATCAAGATTTAGTCCTTTTCTTTAAAGGATCTCAAGGATACGCGATCCACATCAACTTGGTGCATGTAAAAAAAACTTAATAAATTAATTCTCTTAGATACTATTCTGAAGGTTTGATCTCGAAAAAAAGAAAGAAAGCACAGATCTTTTACTACTGGGCCAATCCATAATAGTTAGCACCAAAACATCTTAAATTAGCAAAACTATTGTTCAATACGTGGATCCATCAAAAAGCTTTAATTTAATAATAATTTCTATTTACACACCCATCAAAATAATTTTAATGAAGGGGGTGTTGGAAATACAACTAATATAAGGTTTCTTTAATACTTACAAAAATACAACTAAATAAAATTGAATGAGTTAAATTTTTAAAGGGAAAAAACCCTTATCCATCACGCCCTTTATTAAAATTATTTTGGTTGGTATCAAATTATTTTAATTGGAGTAAAAAAAATAATTATCAAATTAGAGCTTTTGTAGCATATACACATATTAAACAATAGTTTTACTACTTATTGGCGGAAGGAGGATGACTTTACCTTGATTAATTTTCCATATCATAAATTAATGAAAGCTTACATGTTCAAAAAAACACTATAGTTGCATGATGGTTTTGCTCTTCTTGTCAAAAAAAAAAAAAACTTAAACCTAGCTATTAGAGCATTAAGATCTTTTTACTTGGCATTTTAGTTATTACCAAATTGATTAGGGGCAAGAAATGTTGACTTTTGGATCACATATTAATATTTATATATTTTGACAATAACAATTAAATAAAATTAGATTAATGATATGCTTGGTTGATAATAAGTTTAAACATATTTTATACAAAGAACACATTAAAAAGCATGAATAATGAAATGAAGAATTCAATCAACAAGCCCAAGATGTAATGTAAGTATAGGCTTAGTTTTTAAGAATTCATTTTATTGCAAATTGTATAATTTTTTATATCTTACTCGATAATACAAATTAAAATGAATTCACACACTTCACATTGCATGCATTATAAGATTAACATGTATTTAGTCGATTCAAGTTTTACCAGGTTTAAAATTGTCAAATTTAGAATTTAAATTGAACTTGATGCGAACCTCGTGATCACATGGTCACGCAACCTACACGCAAAGACACTAATTCCCAGAAAGCCAAATAAATCAGGTTTGATAGGAGTGTGACACAAAGATAACTTGTACTTAGACACCAGCACTATTGGAAACGGAAAACCCCCACCCAACGAATATTGATTCGTGAACGAGAAGTATAAGGATGATGCCACGAAGACAGTTGTTTTTCGATAAGTTGTTTTTTAGTTTTTTAGAGAACCATGGAAGGGAGATTATCTCACCAACACACACACACAAAGTGCGACAAACAAGAAGTTTTATTAATCTGAATTGTCTTGGCCTAAAACACATAATTTTCGTTAATTAATGGATTTCTTTGATGTATTCTGACACGACTAAAAGATTGATGTCTTCTTCCAAGTGCAGGAGTGTCGAAGTAATAAATAACCCGGCAAGACTGGGGTTGAACCACAAGGAGGTTAATTGTACAAATTATAAATAACAATAATACAACAACAATAACAATAACAATAACAACAACAACAATAATACTAGTAATAACAGCAGCAATAATAATAATAATAAAGAAAAAGAAGAAGAAGATGATGAAAACTTTGAGATGGAATATTAACGTAAAGATTTAACAACGATAACAATAAATGTCAAGGTTAGAGGATCCACTAATGGTATGTCAAACAAGTATAGTATAAACTCTTATTATTCAATTGGAAACCACACACAAAGGAGGTTCCAATTAGATTATAGATTGTTAACATGATTACATTAGTCATCTTATTCGATTAATGCTACTACTTGTAAATTTCATCAAGCATTCATGAGTATAACTTATGTTAACAACAAATCAAGTTCCTTTCATAGCTCAGGTGTCGGTTATACCATACAGTATGGGCTATGAAAGTGCCAAGCATTTGTTGTACCAAGTGTTATACAACATAAATCAAGATTAGTCATTTAACAAGCAAAGTATTAAAGAGTGAACAAAATAACAAATATAAAACATGTTAGTATTAAACATTAAAGTCCATATTGAGTTTACACTATACTTATTCTTACACCATTAGTGTAACCTTTTCACCTTCACGTAATAAACTTAGCTAGACATAATGAAAGAAAGAAAAATAAATAAACAAAATAAGAACATAAAATAAGATAGAAGTTAACTAAGTAAATGAAAGGCATAAACTTAATATTAATAAAAGCAAAGCATAAACAATACAAAAAATACAAAGAGAGAAAGCAAAAGCATGATCTTGATCTGGAGACCAAGATGCTTAAATGCATGGCAAATGCCTCCTTTTATAGTCCAGAATTGGGAACTATTGATTTGATGACTAATTGATGAGTGGGCAGCCAACTCTTGACTTGTTGACAATCCTTATCTTCTCTTGTCTACCCAAAACGTCATTGATAACGTCAAAATTAGAGCCACTTGAAAACATGAAAGTTGTAGACAATTGTCTCAGCTTTCTTGTGTAAAACATTCAGCTTATTTGGACTTCTAGAACTCCAGATATGGCTAAAATACTGAACATTGCTCGGGTTGGAGGATAACTTCGGGCTTCTTTGTTGTTGCAATAATTTGGACTTGAAAATGGACTTTTTAGATCTTGGGCTCCATATGAAAGTTGTAGGCCTATGTCTTACCTTTCCATCCATATAAAGTAGACCTAAATCTGAGATCTATAGCTCCAAACATGACCCAATTACCAAACAGTGTTCCGATTTGGATTGCATCGACATCTCTTTTCTAATTTTGGTCATCTCTTTGCCCTTGCAATTTAAGTTCTTAAAGTCATCAATCAATCCTTTCATTTATGTGATAGGCCTGCATTAAAAATAGACATTTACCACAAATTATAGGTATCTTATATTATTAGATACATTCTTATAAAACATATTTTAGTTAAGGAGTTATTGATACTTCAAGTGCAAAATGATGATATAAAACCATGATAAAAATGCACTTTTAAGTACTAATCATATTCCCTGAAGACATCCCTAATGGATTACCGCCATTAAGGGGGATTGAACATCAAATTGATCTTGTGTCCGGAGCTTCAATTCCTAACCATCCAGCGTATAGAAGCAACCCTGAAGAGACGAAGGACCTTCAAAGGCAAGTAGATGAGTTGATGATGAAGGGGTACATTCGTGAGAGGATGAGTCCTTGTGCTGTGCCAGTGCTACTTGTGCCTAAAAAGGATGGAACATGGAGGATGTGTGTCAATTGTCATGCCATCAATAACATAACAGTAAAGTATCGACATCCTATTCGTAGGCTTGATGACATGCTAGATGAGTTACATGAATCATGTATTTTCTCTAAGATTGACTTAAAAAGTGGGTACCATCAAATTAGGATGAAAGAGGGTGATGAGTGGAAAACTGCATTTAAGACTAAGCATGGTTTATATGAATGGTTAGTCATGCCGTTTGGACTTACAGATGCGCCTAGCATATTTATGCTTTTAATGAATCATGTATTGCATGCCTTTATAGGTAAGTTCATTGTTATGTATTTTGATATATAGCAAGAACTTAAATGAGCATCTTGATCATTTGCGTAATGTACTTAGTGTGTTGCGTAGTGAGCGATTATATGCTAATCTTAAGAAGTGTACCTTTTGCATGGAAAAAATTGTGTTTCTTGGCTATGTCGTAATTGCATAAGGTATCGAGATGGACGAGGAGAAAGTTAAGGCCATCCAAGATTGGCCTACACCAAAATTGGTAAGTGAGGTAAGGAGTTTTCATGGACTTGCTAGCTTTTATAGAAGGTTTGTGAAGGATTTTAGTACTATTGCTGCACCTTTAACTGAAATTGTGAAAAAGTTTGTTAGATTCAAATAGAATGATGCAAAAGATGAGGCTTTTAATTTGTTGAAAGATAAGCTTTGTTCGACACCTGTTTTAGCTTTGCCAGACTTTACGAGAGCTTTTGAAGTAGAATGTGATGCGTTAGGTATTGGTATAGGAGATGTGTTAATGCAGGATAGGAGGCCCATTACCTATTTCAGCAAAAAAATTTAATAGGGATGGAAAGGTAAGACATAGGCCTACAACTTTTATATGGAGCCCAAGATCTAAAAAGTCCATTTTCAAGTCTAAATTGTTGCAACAACAAAGAAGCCCAAATCTGTCCTCCTGCCCGAGCACTATTCAGTATTTTAGCCATATCTGAAATTCTAGAAGTCAAAATGAGCTGATTTTTTTGCAAAAGAAAGATGAGACAATTTCCTACAACTTTCATGTTTTCAAGTGGCTCCAATTTTGACATTATCAATGACGTTTTTGGGCAGACAAGAGAAGATAAGGATTGTCACCAAGTCAAGAGTTGGTCACCAACTCATTAATTAGTCATCAAATCAATAGTTCTCAATTTTGGCCTATAAAAGGAGGCATTTGCCATGCATTTAGGCATCGTGGTCTTCAGATCAAGATCATGCTCTTGCTTTCTCTCTTTGCAGATCAAGATCATGCTCTTCCTTTCTCTCTTTGTATTTTTTGTAATGTTTATGCTTTGCTTTCATTAATATTAAGTTTATGCTTTTCATTTTCTTTCCTTTACTTAGTTAAGCTTTTATGTTCTTATTTTGTTTATCTATTTTTCTTTCTTTCATTATGTCTAGCTAAGTTAATTATATCAAGGTGAAAAGGTTACACTAATGGTGTGAGAATAAGTATAATGTAAACTTAATATGGACTTTAATGTTTGATACTAACATGTTTTATATTTGTTATCTTGTTCACTCTTTAATACTTTGCTTGTTAAAAGACTAATCTTGATTTATGTTGTATAACACTTGGTACAACAAATGCTTGGCACTTTCATAGCCCATACTGTATGGTATAACCGACACCTGAGCTATGAAAGGAACTTGATTTGTTGTTAACATAAGTTATAATCATGAATGCTTGACGAAATTTACAAGTATTAGCATTAATTGAATAAGATGACTAATGTAATCATATTAACAATCTATAATCCGATTGGAACCTCCTTTGTGCGTGGTTTCCAATTGAACAATAAGAGTTTATATTATACTTGTTTGACATACTATTATTGGAACCTCTAACCTTGACATTTGTTATTATCATTGTTTAATCCTTTCATTAATATTCTATCTCCAAGTTCTCATCATCATCATCTTCTTCTTCTTCTCTTTCTTTATTACTACTACTACTACTACTAGTATTATTATTATTATAGTTGTTGTTGTTATATTATTGTTATTTATAATTTGTACAATTAATCTCTTTGTGGTTCGACCCCGGTCTTGCCGGGTTATTTATTACTTCGACACTCTTGCACTTGGGAGAAGACATCAATCTTTTTGTCGTGTCAATTGACTATAAGAAACTCAATTCAATTACTGGAAAAGATCATTTTTCTTTACTTTTCATGGATCAAACAGATCTTAGAGAAAATAATGAATGTTAATAGAAAATATTAGTCTTTAAGACTTATTGATGCACTTTAAATTTATTGAACTGCTTATAAAACATCATTTTCCTTATAGACTATTCTATGGTAAACCTTGTCACTTACTGTTGTGCCGTGAATGATTCAAAAATCGGCAACAATGAATCTGACGAAAATGGATGAAGGATGGGTTGTGTTAGATCCTCGTTTCAAATTGAAGTATGTGAGATTTTGTTTTGGAAGATTGTATGATGTTGAAGAAGCTGAAAATTTTACAATTAAGGTTAAAGATACTTTACTAAGGTTATTTGAGCATTATATAAATGTTGATGAGAATATTGAGGTTGTTCATAGTGTTGGAACTAGTATAAATGAAAATATGAATGTTGATTTAATGGTGCTAAATGATGATATGTTGGATGACTTAGCTTCTCAATTCAAAAAACATTTAGAGGAAGAAGGCAGTGTCCAAAAGAAAAATGAGGTTGAGAGGTATTTGAGTGATGATTGTGAGGATCCGAATGATTTTAAATTAGATATTTTAGGTTGGTGGAGGTGTAATGCTACAAAATACAAGATTCTTTCTAAGGTGGCACAACACGTGTTAGCCATCCCGGTATCTACAGTTGTTTCTGAAGCAGCATTCAGTACTGGTGGTCGTATATTAGATCCATTTCGAAGCTCTTTATCTCCATCGACAGTGCAAGCACTTGTTTGTTGTCAGAATTGGTTAAGTTTAGCACCAATTCCAATCAACATTAGAACCTTCATGGATTATATTGAAAATTCTGAAATGATTGAGTCAGGTAATTTCTCTTACAAATGTAAATATAGTTATTTTATAATATTATTTCTTTATATATGTTTAATCTAACATTTTAATTTATGTTTTTGTAGAATTTGGTGAAAATTTAAAAATCTCAACTGATTATTTGTAAGTAGTATTGGTGGTTTGATGCAATCTTGGAATATAATTGTTTTGGGTAATTAATTTACTTTACCTTGTTAATTCCCTTTAAAATTTTGCATTCTTAATTCTTTCAATAGTTAAACTCTAATATGTTACTAATTTGCTAGTGTTTTTTTTATAGTACTATCCTTGGTGGAATTTTTGGATGCTGCGTTACTGGAATTTTTGGATGCTGGTGTTGCCGGAATTTTTTCCTTCAAAGTTCAAACTATGTCGAATGTTTATGATAATTTGTTACTGGTTGTTAATGTATCCGCTTGTTAATGTTAACTTTTCTAGTGCGAACAAACTTTTAATTTGCGGTGTTTAAATTTGATCATGCATATTACATATAACATTGATCTAGTACTTTGAAAATCATATTAAAAGTCACCAAATTTGCATCTATATGGGATTTTAATTCATGTTATTATTCAAATTATTATCCAGAATTTAATTCATATTAAAAATTTATCAATTCATATCAAAGTCATAATTAACTTAACATTGTAAAAGTTGAATATAAGTTTCCTTTCAAATTCAAAGAAGGCTACTTTAAAATTTAAAGAGGGTTACGCCAATTAAAAAAAAAAACTAACTTCTTAACCGAATTTTTTCCTGGTTTTTTTCTTAAAAAACTGAATTTAACTGAACCGGTCCGGTTCGGTTTGAACCGGTTTCCGGTTCGGTTCGGTTAATTTTTTATAAGAATTCTATAATTCGATTCGGTTAATTTTTTGGGTCTGAACCGAACCGAACCGAACCGTCAACACTCCTAGCTGTATCAAAGGCCGCTAGAAACCAATGCGAGGTCGACACTGGCTTCGTTAGGGGAAGAAGTTGCTTTAAAAATTCTCCGGAGAATTTCTGGTCAAGAGATTAGAAAAAGTTTTGAAGGTTTCTTTCTGTACTTGGCCAAACAGTTCTCTCCTAATATCGATGCTTCTTCTTCTTCCCCCGACATACACTCCTCCCTCTCTCCATCTCCTCAACAATCCCAGAATTGGAGCCCCATTACAGACACCCGTTTACCGATAAATACGCAAAGTAATGTACTTTTTTCTTTTTTTCATTTCGAAATGGTAATCATCACTGTTTAGAAAACTTTGCTGTCTGTGAAGGTCAAAGATGCAATTCAGGTTCTGGGTTGATTTTTTTTTTTTTTGTTTTTCTTTCCGTGGGGGCAATAATATAGGTGATTCTGGTTTTCAATCTTCAATTCCGTTGAAGCTTGAAGGTTCATCAATCATGAGTTCACAGAGACAGAGAGGAAGCGAGTCTACAACCAGTCAACATTTGGTGGCTTTGGGAGAGCTTGAGTTTAGAAAAGCCTTTCTTATCTTAAATTACCTTAGAGGGTAAGCTTTGCTTTGCTTTGTGATTTCTTGTGTTTTGCTAGCTGCTTGGTTGATAAGGTTTAATATATTCTCAAAATATCTACAGAAAAAATTTGGAAGAGGTGGTATCCGCTGATCAAATTAGGGGGTATAAGAATTTGCCAATGAGAACATTTGAGTCAGAAATTTGGGACGCTTTTGGTTGTAGGAGAGATTATAGAAATGAAGAAGATCGTGTCAAGGTAAATATGTCATAAAACTATCTGGGTTTTATGCTCTTTAATTTGTTTAATTTTGAATTTTGAATGATTTGCGTGCTGGAGTCGCGCGGGTATGTAGTGAATGTGTACATGTAAATTGCTTATCTAGAATTGTAACTGATTATAATCCACTGTTTTTGTTATTATTATTATTATTATTATTATTATTTGTTGCTATATTGCAGTATCTTGATTGGGATTCTGGAAAAGCACACATCTATCATTGTCATGTTGATCCGGATGGAAGTTATAGGTTCAAGGTTTGAATTTCTCCTTAATCACATGCTTATGCATACATGATAAAGAGAACCATCAATTGTATTACTCTCCTGAAAAAAGAACAAAAAAGAAAAAAAAAACAAAAAACTGCTGGTGATTCATGATCAAATTTTTTCTATTCTGGAAATTTTGAATTTGGATGCTTTTTTTCCTTTCAACTTCATGCTTGTATTATCATGGTTAATTTTGTGTTATCATTTCTATGAAATTCGCTTGTAGTTAGACCTGTATCAATTCTTTTATTCCAGATGTTGATAACATGAAATGCTCCTTTCCAAGGGTTCGAAAACAATTATGTTATTTATTGTGTTATCCTACTGTTGATTATTGATTATTGAGAGAAACTACTGATGTGTTTTTACTGAAAGAAGACATGATTTTTGGGTTAGCATTGTCATATTCATTAAATTTATTTCAGGGACCTTACCTCTCCAAACTGAGAAATGTCCTGCAAAGGACCTTGGGAGATGACAATATATTGATGGTAAAGTTTGAGGAGGTGAAAGATGAGAGAGGTTCAGTGAGCAGTTCTCTGGATGATTATTTTGCCAAGTACAACAAGGTTCTTAGAGAAGGGATTCAAGTTGGTTTGCGTTGTTACCGCTTTTTTGGTTAGTCTATAGATTGCTTCTTGTTTGATGAATATTGACTTTTGGATGACCCTTTTTGAGACACTGTGCATTCTATATTAATAACATACATTATACACTTATAAGCATAAGTATAAGATAACTATCGTAGGATATTTGTTCCTTGTGTGGGAGAATTAACTTTGTACAATGCATTTAAATAGATAATTGTCAAAATCACTATAAACGAACTTTTACTTTCCTATGTTGTTATATTCTAAGTCCTTTCAGTGTAACGAGATACCAGTGCAAGTCAAATATTTTTCCTTTCTTGTTTCTGTCCTTCAATGATAAGGCATCAGCTCATCATCTCAGTATGATCTGTACCATGCATTTCAAGAACTGTTTGTCATTGGGCCTCTGTAATAGATAGCTAATGGAGTCTTATACAAACTCATCTTTAAGAAAACAAGATTGTTTTCGATTCATGCTCTCAGATCCATTGCAAAATTGGTTAGTTTCACTTGTTTTGTAATGAAATTAAGTATTACAACCATTTGTATCATAGTTTCACTTCTAAAAGTGGATATTTGGGCGAAAACTGTCACTTATATGTGTCACTGTACTGTGGCAGGTGATATTGTGTTGTACATGGTCTTCTGAACATCTTTTGTTAGTTTTTGAATCCTTCTAGGATAATCATTTCGTTTAATTGACATTGGTTGTTGACCATTGTTGACCAGTGTTTAAAGATGGAGGCAAAGAAGAGAAAAAGAAAGACCCAACCACTTCTCCTGTCAAGTGTTTTTTTGTCTGCATGGAGTCTGTTGCATCGATTGATGATCAAGATAATATTTTGTGCGGGAAAACAATCCGTCAAGCCAGATCTGTTTTTATGCATGTAGACAATTTGTCTAGTTTGTCAAACTATATGGCTAGGTTGGTGACACTATGATCTCCCCTCTCCCATATTTGAGAACCATATTTAAACATGCTCTGTTTACAATTTGAGATTAACATTCTTTGAAGAGACTCAGGTTTTCGCTGATTTTGTCAAAGACCATGAATCTGGAAGTTGATTTATCCTTTGTAGATATCAAGACAATAGCTGATGAACCATGCCGGGTGCGACTTATATGTTGATTTTTTTTCCTTTTTTTTTCAAAACATGGCTTGTTATTTGCTAGGTATGTGTGGACATACACAGATTATTGCCTGTTTGTCTATTCAATTTGCTGTTCTTTTTTATGTTTCTGTTGTTGCAGGATAAAGATGGTAATGATGTTTACGGTATAGATGGGAAACCTCTTATACATACAGATGGAACTGGGTTTATATCGTATGATTTGGCTTTGAAATGCCCAAAGAAACAAGTCAAAGGAACTTGCCTCCAAGCTTCCAATATTGAGGTTTGTGGTTAAGAGCTTGATTTCATTGTGCAATATGTTAAGTAAATTCTATTTAAAGAAGGACAAGTATCATTTTCTCTAAATTAATATTAACATAGATGTTTGATGATCATACTTTAGCTTTTATAATTTAATGTTTTGTTTTGTGTATGGTAACCACCCTCTTTAAGTTTGACAATGATCCATTGATAATCAAAATTCTAACTCTAGGAAAGAAATAGAAAGAAAATGGGTGAGTCAAAATAAATGAATATCTTCTCTTTATGTTTTCCACAAACTATTTTTCATTGAAGCTTGTTTCAAGTCATTGAAAATTTCCTTTTCCTGACCCTTTTGTTGCATGCATGCACTGGTATCCATGGAATTGTCAAAGAATAGTTCTTCCAACACAAGGTTAACCAGTGGAACTTTCACATTATTAGTAGTAATCGCTGAATAATTGAGAATAAAAACTATCTCATTGCTTCTACCGTGTAGGAGCTCACTAGAGGGGGGTTGGTTAAATAATTTAGACGTTAACATGTTTGTTCACTATTTCCTTTTATCATGTGTATGCTCGATCTCATTCCTCAGATTTATAGCATTATGTTTACTTATGATTTATCCCATCTGTTTTTTTTTCCCTTTCCCTAGAACTGATACTAATTCTTTTGTGAGTATATAATTTAGAGAGGCAATGTTTTACCCCTTTGCTGCTTTCTTCCATTCATATGTTGATGTTTTTTGTTTTTGGATAAACAGAACTTTTCATGTTTTGGCTCATTTGTTTTTTCCCCTACACTGCTAGAGATTACATGTTCATAATGAAGTCATGGAGCAAAATCCAGAATGTCTCTATGGGGATCCAGTATGTACATCTCAGTCATTGCTAGTTTCTCTGGTTTTAAAATTCTATTGTTTAGTTGAGGACTTGAAATCAATTATCTTTTCATTTCTTTTTTCAAGCCTTTGCTGATCCAGTTTCGTCTCTTTAATAATGGTAGAGCTGTCAAGGGAACTTTCCTTGTGAATAAGAAGGTATAGTTTTGGAATTTTGTATTCCATTGAAATAATAATGAGTTGATTTTTTGGATTGATATCCTCTCGTGTTCTTTTGCATCATGTTTTCAAATTCAAAAAATGAATGGGCATTATT